AAGAGAGAGATAAAACTACTAATCAATGTAGGAAGAATTATGAAAATTCACTTTATAATCATTTAAAAATGAATTTAGTAATAAATTTAACGAAATTTATAATTAATCATTATACTTATCTCATAAGCTTTTATTGCAATTCATTTATTATTAAGAATATTACTTAGTTTATAAAAAATGATTTATTTGGTCCATTAGTAAACATTATTTCAAAATTTATTGAATATCAGAAACTCCAAAGAATACACAGACATGATCAATAAAATTCATTCAGTTAGAAATTTTTTAACCACGCAAATTGGATATTAACAAGGATTTCTTATGATTACTTATTCGAAAACTCGGGGGAATAAAACTAAAAATGAAATAGACTGCTCATTAATAGTTGTGAAGCGACATGGATATTGTTTCAAATAAGAACAAATATTTAAAAATGTGATGGATTCGTCAAAAACAATACAAACATATCAGTACATCTAGCAAGAGATATAAAATTTATATATAAAAATTGTTAACAAATGTAATTCTAATTATAGCCTCAATATATACGCGGCTATTTTAGATCTTATTAAGTTAATATTTTTTTCCTTAAAATTAAATCAAGATTTTAATGATATAAAAAAGAGGAAATTTAAAAGAAACATTAAATTTAATTTATGGTTGAAGAGATAATGTATTATATTACAACTATATTTTTAAATTAAAGGAACCCTTTTTAAAATTAGAAGAGAGAAATATATTAAATATCAAATTAAACAATTATAACATTAAATTTAGTATAGGCAATCTTTTTTACGATGTTTTTAAATATAAGTATAATATACATATTATATATATATATATATACACATATACATATATATATACACATATACATATATATATACACATATACATATATATATATACACATATACATATTATATATATACATACATATTATATATATATACATACATATTATATATATATATATACATACATATTATATATATATATATACATACATATTATATATATATATACATACATATTATATATATATATACATACATATTATATATATATACATACATATACATACATATTATATACATACATATACATACATATTATATACATATATATATTACTATAATTCAATAAATTTTGAAATAATATTTACTAATAAACCAAATAAGTCATTTTTTTATAACTAAGATAATATTTTTTAATAATGAAATCGTAATAAAAGAATATGAAAAAGTATAGTGATTAATAATATATTGTGTTTTTGAGTTGAGTTGAGCGGCGCAGCGGTCGAGGTTGGCAGCGGCAGGCAAGGGCTCTTGTGTAAGCCTGCGACCCCTGTGGGTGGCTGGGCAAACCATTTGGAGGAATACATTGTGCATTCTCTAGCGTGCAAGAACCTGATTAAGCGTGCACCTTTGCGAAGTAAATATATTAATAAATTATATTAATCAGCTTTGCTAGCTCTAACATACACCCCCACACGACGACTAGGTCGTCCGAAAAAATAAGATGTTAGGGCAAGCTAGGTAGTTAGGTATAGAATTATAGGAATTTATGGCGCACGGAAATACAGGGTTAGGACAGTGACTGAATATAGCCGTTAGCAATAGGAAGGCATGATTGACCTCAAACGAATAAGGTAATGAAAAAATTTGTAAGGGGTACCTAACAAAGTGGCAAGCGCGCAAATGCAGTAAATGGGCCTACATAAGATAATAAGATTAATCTCGAATGAGATATTAAACCCAAAGTGCGTGGAATTGAAAGTGGGCACCTCGAAGAGGTGATAAGTGCGACAACGTAGAAACCTTAAGATAATAAGGCTGATCTCGAATGAGATATTAAACGCAAAGTGCGTGGAATTGAAAGTGGGCACCTTGAAGAGGTGATAAGAGCGATAACACAGAAACCGTAACATAATACTTATAGACTAATAAGATTGATCTCGAATGAGATATTAAATGCATAGAGTGTGGATTGTAAAGGGGGCACCTCGAAGATGTGGTAAGTGCGAGAACGCAGAAATCTTAATGACTAACAAGTATACAATATAATAACACAATGAATCTTACGGCTAACAAGATAATAAATAAAATAAAGACACAATAATTCTAAATTAGCACTAAATAACTATGAATGACCTATGTTTAAATTAATGCAGCAAGCAATAAATCCAGCAAGTCAGTGTCAGCTCTGATACTCTAAATTGCATTGACATGTAATAGTCCACCCCCACAATGACAAAAGGTTAAAATAGTGTCACCTTTGCACTTCATATTAGAGGGCACTACTTTAGATTCGGCACAGAGCAGTGTTACGGTGTACGTACCGTGTTCATTTGCAGAGCGCACATAGATTGCTGCTCCACAGGCTATCAGGCTGCTGTCAGAAAAGCCATGTAATTCGACGGATGAGTATTCAGATGGCAGAATGCATCGTGGCACATTAATTGTGGGAATGTCAATTAGTGACGTGAACACTTCTTGCCATTTGAGGGTAATGTCAGGTGGGCGTGGTTGGTCCCAATAGAGGGAATAGTCCCAGAGTCTTTGAAATGACAATTTACATACAATTATGCAGGGGGCCAATAAGCCGAGTGGATCAATTACAGAACATATCACAGGTAACATAGATCGTTTGGCGAATTTGTCAGAAATTGTCACAGGTGCCTTCGTTGTAGGTAATTTGAGGGAATTTACAGTGCTCCATGTGGTTAGATTAATACCACTTCCAGTGTCATGAAGTGCGACAAAAGGTTTAAATCTACCCTTGTTATTAGAACAGCATACCAAAGCTGTTGAGATGAGGGTTGAAGTGGTTGTTTTGGCAGCACTGGTCACAACAGCTGATGCAGCCTGTTGATTAGTGGGAGGTTCATCACCAAAATGCGGAATTTATGGTGATTTTCACTACAGGTGGTACATTTTGTAAGACAAGAATGACCATCAGCCTTCGGGTGAAGGCATCTAGAACATATACCTTGTTTAAGAATAAATTCATAGCGAGCTTTAGGTGATAATTCTAAAAATGAAGGACAGTCCTTAATTAAATGCTCAGAATTGCATTTTGGACATATTGGTAGTATATTCCTTCCCGTGTTGTTGACGTTGCCTGCCTTGGAGTTGTGAGGCTTGTCATTAACGTGAGGTTTGGAATTCCTAGAAGTATGGTAGGATGGGATTGATCCATTGGAAACAGAGTCATTTTCAGCGGGAGCTAATTTATAATTAGACACTGCCACATTAACTGCAGCAAGGACGTCATAATATACATTAAAGAGATCATTTATTTGAGAAAAAATCTCATCAGATGGATCAATGTCGTCAATTAAATCATCAAGCTTATCAAAGGTTTTAATAAGCGTTTTCTTTCTGAGGGTTAATTGTTGACACAAGTACAGTGAATGGCTCATTTTCTGCAAGAAAACTTGAAATGGAGGTGCAACAATCGTTCAATCTGGCCATTAAATTAATAACGTTTCTAGGAAGAGTTTGTGTTGCCATATTGAATGCTTAATTGGCAATTAATGGACACAAGATTGATTAGGGATGATAGTGGATCAGAAAGGAACCCTAACACCTAACACTAATTAATGCTAAACTTTCCCCCAAAATACATTAATACTAAACAAAATAACTGGTCCACATACATGGGACACTTGAAAATGTAAATAAACACTTGAGTATACATAAAATTAAAGGAGCACATGCATATACGTTATGCGCTGTGAGAAATGAGAATAGTTGTTTGATAAATAAAAAATGATAAAACAAGCCGGTGCTTGTAATACCTTTGCAAGCAAGCTAATTCACTGAATAAATGCACGTCTTAATGAGGTTTTTGCACTTACAGTTGGTTGAAGAGAATCAGCGAGTGGTACAGCAGGTCAGCTGTGTGGCATCGATACTCGATAGTAGAATCGTACATGTAACATTTAAATTAGGCATAAGTATGTTACATAAAACAGGTACATTAAAAATTTGAATGCAATTAATAACACTTGATTTGCATGTAATGGTAACAAGTACACTCAATTAAAAGATAGAAAGATATTGGCTCGGAGAGCATATACAGAAGTGTTTGCTGATGCAAATATCAGCTTTGATACCTGGAAGGCATTAAAAATAGAAATTGAGCTTGAATAAGCATACATAAATTTGCTGGTTAAATCCGGCTCGAAGAGGACCAAAATGGATGGGCTGGGTCGAGCGAGTGGACTGTATAAGGATTGCAGTTAATACGACCCTTCCCAAACATTCCTACAATAGCTCATAAACTGAGGCGCGAAGGACCACCCAGACACCTGTAATAACAATAACAGGTTACTACCACCGCTGCAGGTCTGAGACTGCAAGGACGGAAAATTGAGCAGATACTTGTTACCATGAGACAATGAAAATAGAACGCGTAAAGATATATATTGTAAAAATAAAAGTACACTATGAGCTATGAATGCTATAACCTACGAACATAGAGTAAAAAAGGTGCATTATGACCTATACACATGGATACACTATACAGCAAGTATTGCAATTGTACAGTTGAAGTGGATGTTGCAAGGCACGTAGTGGCGGGCGGGTTGCGAACCCAGGCCCATCGCAGACAGGCGGAGTGCAAACGGGCAGAGCGCCGTTAGCAAACTTCCCACGACGTGGCACTGAAGGTGTGCGGCAATAACAGTCACACACACGTGGACGGGCGGAGCGCCGTCGGTAAAACTCTTGCCCGGACGTGGTGCTAAAGCCATGCGGCAGGAACATCCGCACACACGTGGACGGGCGGAGCGCCGTCGGTGAAGGCGAAGCGTCTGCAGACATGTGTGCAACCCAGCTACGCCGCACGCAAAACACTTAACATGATAATAACAGTGTGTCCGTGGCACTATTGTTTGCCAGGGGGCACAATATCAGTCACTTGCGGCAGTAATGCACGAGCACACTTTGTTGGGCCGAAGGCCATGTCAAAGAGAGCGGCGCACTACACGTCCGGTCGGGCCGAACAGGGCCGAAGGCCAGGCTGAGAAGTAGGTCCGTAGCCTTGCACAAACGGCGCGTCGGTTGCCGTTGGCCAGGCGAGAGTGGTCGAGCATCTGCCACGTCACGGGCGACGCTTCTAGAAGCCCACACAAAGACGGAGGGCTGGCACAGAGACGCGCTGGTCGCAGGTACCAGGCGAGAGTAATCGCTCAACTCCCACGTCACGCCTCATGGAGCGGCGCGGCGGTCGAGGCTGGCAGCGGCAGGCAAGGGCTCTTGTGTAAGCCTGCGACCCCTGTGGGTGGCTGGGCGAACCATTTGGAGGAATACATTGTGCATTCTCTAGCGTACAAGAACCTGATTAAGCGTGCACCTTTGCGAAGTAAATATATTAATAAATTATATTAATCAGCTTTGCTTGCTCTAACATTTCTAATTAACTAAAAGAGCTCATTTTTATAAAATTCAATTAATTATTTTACTTTAGTGTAAAGCTATTGAAAGAGTAGGTACGAAAATTCAAATGTTGCGTCATAATATCGGAGCCAATTTCCCTGTTGCGTTTTCGCAACGTTGCGCAATCAGTGATCTTTCCGAGAAGCAGGTCCCGACTCGTAGAGGCGCATGTGAAATGTCACCTTTTGAAATATTTTCATTGTTTGTGGATAATACTCTCTTGAAAATGATAGCAGATTTTTCAATAAAATATGCTAATTCAAACAATCGCCACAATTTTGTTTGGTCCGAAACAGAGTTGAAAACGTTTCTTGGCATTTTCTTCTTATCTGGAAATAATAGTTTTCCTCAACAAGATATGTTTTGGTCGACATTTATTTGTCACACTTCGAGAGAAGTGTTTCTTTGCAACTGGTACAATTAGCGATGCGCGAACTGGAAAGTGTACCCTCATGGGCAAAAAGGAAATGCAAAAGACCCAAAGAGGAAGTTACGATAGTGCACAAGACAATTTACAATGGTGAGATGATATTCATGACAACGGAGTGGCAAATTACAGAATTCAAATACGAGGGGGGAAAATGGTGGTGGCCGCTATTTACCAACTCCTTAGACAGCTTTATGGTCAATTCTTGGATAACTGGATTTTTCAAAGTTATATTGCAAGATGCCTCATAAGATGTGAAAGTACGGAAGATGTTGAATATTCTGAAGGAAGTTAACAGAATAAGATTTGATGGAGTAGGTCACATTTCAATGCCAGCAGCCCGTATGCTGGGAAGATAAATAAGCTGCGTCGTAGCCGCAATAGTGGTTTGAACATGCGGAAATACTAAGTATATCATTTCAATGCCAGCGGTCCGTATGCGGGAAAGATTAATGAGCTGTGTCATACTCGCAACAGTGGTTTGGACAATCTATTTGTGCAAATATATTGCACAATTAGTTTGAACAACGCTCAATTTTTTTCGAATGTCAAAATATTTTTCAGATAATGGACTGAGTAGAAAATTTATTTTATATACTATTTATTAAAAAATTATACAATTTTATTTTTAAAAAATTAATTACATATTTCAATTTATTTATGCTTGAAAATCAAGTTTCAAAAAAATATTCTGTATAAAACAGGAAAATATATTAACATTTTTCACAAATGTTCTTCAAAAAACCAAATTTAATTTATTAGTTAGAACGTTGTTCTCTTTCTCCAGTTCTTTTATTTGTTGAAGTAGAGTTGCATTTTCCTTCTCCAATTTTTCAAGTTTGAATGTGAGCAATTGTTCTTTAGTTAGTATTTGTTTCTCTTCAGTGAGATGTTTCTCTTCAGCGATCAAATGTTCCTGTTTTGTTTCCTTTTCTAAATTTGTAATGATTTTATCTAATGACATAAAGAAAATTAAGTGCAGTTATCCAATAAGATAATTACACAACAGGTGTAGAAAAAGGTATTTTAGAATTGGAGATCAGATGTGTAATGGTTTAATGGAAGCAGCTCGAAAAGACGTCAATAACAAACATCACAATATTAATAGATGCGCAAAGAAAGAAAACGCCAAAAAATGCTGCTGGATGCAGAAAGTGAAAATAGTTCTAGTCCTGAAGCGTAAAAATATTTAGAAACTGTGATTGAAGCAGGCAAATAATTTTCTTCATATGTCACCTTCAAAATCAAAAACAACTATAAAACAGCACGGAATTATTCGACCGTTATTTATTATGATGAATTCATTCCCTTTTTGGTCGCTTGCAAGAAGATAGATTTTTTTAATATTTCCGTAATGTTGGTTCTAAAACCACACATTTCCCTCATACATTTTTTAAATTGATTATTACATGCATCGAGTGTCACGTTCTACACATCCGATGGTTTTCGCAACACTTTGATCGTAAGTATTCCGTGTTTTGTATTCAGCGGTATTTCTCTCGATATTTCGATTACTGAGCGATACGTGTTCGTAAATTAACATCCGTCGCCACACAGACCGTGTACCAATAACCAAAAAGTTCATAGAAGCTGCAACGTGTGTCAAGGGGTAACGCGTGTTGATTAGCCTTCGACGTCCTTTGGCTGCAAGGTGTCAGGCGCTAATTCCAACGCACGTTGCACAGGGCGCTCATGTGCGACGGTGTACTTGAATCCCTTTCGCCCGACGACGGACGACGAAATTTAACAACCGTTATTTGAAGACAATGCTCAGCTAGTATATTACGAGCCTGAACTCATTTTCCGAGATGGTCCGTAGATGTGTTCTCCCAGACGTAAATGCACAGCTTTTTCTCCCCTCTTAAAATGTTCTTACTCTATATGTATGTAAACTAAGTGGTTAGGCGGAAGAGCAGGTCCTATGGCCTGAGCCTCGCAATTAATAATGGCATCATTATTATTATTATTATTATTATTATTATTATTATTATTATTATTATTATTATTATTATTATCATTATTATTATTATTATCATTATTATTATCATTAATATTATCTTAAAGTTTTATATGAGGTCACCAAAGTGAATATATTAAATTACTAGTGTTCCTTCCCGAAAATCATATCACTCAGTATGCAATTATGCACCGTTGATTCGTGTGTCAATTCAATTCTGAAACGACTCCTATATTATTTCAGAAGTATAGATACCTTTTGTGGATCTCACAGGCAACCAATTTCTATAAATGATGTCTCTAAACAAAGAAGTTTAAGTACGCGTGACGAATTGCATTCTCACTTTAAAAAACTTAAGGATATGTTGAAAAAACGCATCTAGCTGTTCAGGCGAAATGCAACCCATAGTATTCGACACTGTTGTAAAAAATATATAGTTAAATAGCTCCTGAACAAAGGGTTCTAGGGTCTTAAAACTTGGAATTTTTTGGCGAGCGGCCCCAAACAAACGTTACTCGCACCGTAACATACAGGATAAATAATGCGCGATATTTTATTAAATTTTTGCTGGTCCGGCACTCATCAATACTACCCAATTCCAAACTTATTATAGGCCGCGGCGCTTAAGCGAATCTTTTATTATTTTTTAAACAAATAAATCCGTTTTGTTTACAACTTTCTCTCTTAATATGGCAAAGGAAATATAGGGAGAAGGATGGAATGTCACATGAGAGTTCTCGCGCTGGTACACTTGTGCATTTTTAATGTACTATTTTAGACAGTTTTTCGTCTTTTTTCCGATACGCTCGCCGCGGCGTTTGACACACTGTGTGCCGACACCAGCGCAACAAAGGGCTACGTAGAAAAGGCCATCTTGTGGTAGCGCGGAACACTTTTCACATGCGAGTCGCTTTGAAAAACTTGAGTTTTACTTCTCTGGAGGCAGCGGTGAAAGAACTTTCTTCGTACAACTACCTTCTTTACGGCTGCGCCCGCTTTGAGGCAGACGACGTTTAAATATTGTGGATTTCATTGCGAAGGGAATAGATACGTTTATAGCAAGAAAAAAGTACTTTTCGACACTTTTGTTGCTTACGTGTTTGGTACTTTTTAATTAATGGTGTGCCTTAATATTTAACATTCATGTAAAATTTATTCCTAATTACTTCGACTTACGAAAATCTACAAGCCCTACCGAAAAGGTATGAATGTAAAATGGAAACAAGATTTGCGAACCAGTTACGGATTTACAGTTATACCTTACCCTATAAATATTTGAAAGCTACATCAGTTATGATTAAAATGTTAGTTATGTTATATTCTATTAACACATTTATCTGCATTTTGGTGTCTCACTGATTTTTAATTTCTCTTTCTCTCTCTGTATCTCTCTCTTTGTCTCTCTCTCTCTCTCTTACTATCTCTCTGTATGTCTGTCTGTCTCTCTCTCTCCCTCCCTCATATTTTCCTTTTCTTTCGGGCACTACTCTGCCATATCACTTTTCCTTATTTGTGCATATTTTTCTAATATTTCTCTTTCCTATCTTCTCTTTGTATTTCTCTTTTTCTGTGTTCATTTTTTTCATTTCTCATTATTTCTTTTATATTCTCTAAATATTCTCCGTTCATTCTCTTCATAACTTTTAATATTTGCACCTAAGTGATGAAAGTGACGAACGAGAACCAAGTGTCTTCAAGCAACTGATGCGAAACCGCAAAACGAGCGAATTATAAACATGAATTAACGTGAAATTACGCTAGAATGAATGGTAAGAAAAGTGTAGTCCCACATAAAAAGCGTACTGCGAGATGTTTTCTTCTGTGAAACCCTTATAAGTCTTTCTTTGGTCACGTACAATGAGAGCACTAGATGTGACATAGATATAGAATTTGTACAGGAAGATATCCACAATTAATGACATGATGCCGATCGAAATGAAGATATGTTAGAAGAGGCATTAATGGCTAATTAGCGTAAGAAAAAAATAAGAAGTAAAAGATACATACAACCATACTTGTAGTCGATTCATATAATTGGAGTTCTTACTCACAACGTATTATAATAAAAGAAAAACGTTACATACGTTCTGTCCCAAACAAACCTTATCCCCGCCGTTTCCCCGCAATCCGTTATGTGTGAAATTTGATTTAAAATAAAAAAAAACACTCCTCATATAGAAAACTGTAGAAAAGAATTTATGTGTGAATATATCCATCAAACTAGAAACTTATATTCCGATTTCCACGAATCGACAGAAATTTTGGTAACCGTTTCTATGAGAGAAAATTAAATTGTTTCTTATCATATGGATTAACAGGTAGTCCCACAGAATTACACCGACGTGTCCTAGAGAGCGCGGTCTGTCGTGGCGCATGGGGTTATTTTGTTGCAATTACATGAGTGCCTCGTGTTGCAGCTCTCATGGATTCTAAAACCCTTCACGAATAATGTACTTGTCCCAGCCAAGTGTCTCGAAGAGTGCCCAGTCACGTGACGCGTAGGGTTGTGTGGTTGCAAGGGCCGGGTGCTGTGGAAATCGTGACCTCATAAAACGATTTGTAAAAGCAGTACTTGCCCAAGCAAAATGTGACGTCGGGGTGTGGGGGCAGGGGCACCAGGTGCCAAATACGTTACGTGTAGAGCGTGGCGAGAAGACAGCAGACTGGCGAGGCTATCTGGTCCTATGGTCACATGGGCGCGAGAGATACGCCATGTGAGTCCTTGTCCGTTGCGAATAGACCTTGTGTACTGACGTGGCCGTGTGTTGGTGTGATTGCAGGGGCACGAGAGGCCAGCCATGTGCCTCCTCGCCCGTTGCAAGTAGTCCTTGTGTACTGATGTGGCTGTGTGGCCGTGTGGTTGCAGGGGCGCGAGGGTCCAGCCATGTGCCTCCTTGCCCGTTGCGAGTAGATCTTGTGCACTGACGTGGCTGTGTGGCCGTGTGGTTGCAGGGGCGCGAGGGGCCAGCCATGCCCGTTGCGAGTAGACCTTGTGTACTGATGTGGCTGTGTGGCCGTGTGGTTGCAGGGGCGCGCGGGGCTAGCCATGCCCGTTGCGAGTAGACCTTGTGCATTAACGTGGCTGTGTGGTTGCAGGGGCGCGAGGGGCCAGCCATGCCCGTTGCGAGTAGATCTTGTGCATTGACGTGGCTGTGTCGCCGTGTGGTTGCAGGGACGCGAGGGGCCAGCCATGCCCGTTGCGAGTAGACCTTGTGCACTGACGTGGCTGTGTGGCCGTGTGCTTGCAGGGGCGCGAGGGGCCATCCATGGCGTCGCTGGAGCCGCTGGAGGCGAACGCGTCGGAGGCGCCGCCGCACCGCAGCCTCCACCACGTGCTGCGCAACTCCTCCTTCTCCAACCTCTCCATCCTCATGGAGGACGTCGACACCGACATCATCGGGTGAGACGCGCGTGCAGCACGCCAAGCGCTAACACATTGCCTGTGATAGCAAGGTTATAGAAATCGTGCTTGGTTGGCAGTGTGTTATGTCCAATATATACACCAGAAATTAACATTAACCTTTGTCCTATTATACAAATCCAAATATCCAACTCGTACACATAACAGTGCCTTTTACAATATATCCTAGTGTCGAGGATGCAAATATAGCATGAGTATTTTGGGGGAGCTCATGCAGTAGTTGGACGAAACGGACGTCAATAATCTGCAATCTAACACTTTTAAATAAGGGAAAATACTACAAATACGTCAAGTACGAAGGCTGCTAGCATTCGTAGTTGTTAGATTGATTATTAATGAATAAAATGATAGTGTTCCTGTGTCTGGGGGAAAGATAATATTTCCTGACCGATTATTTTCGTTTTGCCATAAATATGCGTAGCACCACTATTTCTCGCGTTCTACATGGCACCGTGCACTGAAAATGCAATCACAGTTATCTTTGGAACAATAACAATCTGGCATTTTAATTCCTTTTCATTGCACTAGACGCGGGCGTATTTAATTCGTTTTTTCACGAGCGATGCAATCTGTCGTTAGCAAACTAGACTGAAGGCTTCAAACAATGTGATCTCTTCGTGTCTTAAATAGAAAGGCGTTTGATTCTGGGAAGCTGCAGACAAGTGTGCCATGCGGCGCTCAAAAGCTGGCGCTGTATGTCGGTTATTTTTGAAAACCGTTCGAAATTCCTTTTACAAGAAGTGTATGCTTCCTCTGTGTCAGAGAAATCTCGTGATTTTAGGATAAAATTAAATCTCGTTCGCGCGACGTTTAAAACGTGTGCTTTTTGCCCGCAATTTCCTCCAAAGACTGGTTGTAATGACTGTATTTACATGACGGAGCCAAATTTGAATTTATTTGGTTGCGTATTTGCCAACACATGCACCAAGAGTCGAAAGCACTGTCGTCACCAAGCAACGCACTAGTTCAGCAGCGTCGAATAAGATTATACCGTCGCGAGCGCAGCCGGCGTGGACAGAATTTCTTCTACGCAGTCTCTACTCTTGGGCGCGCATTTCTAAAACCGAGCGTGTCCCCTTCGTTGCTCGTCGCCCCTCATTAAAGCTGCGATGTCTCGAGGGTTCTACTGCACGAGCGAAACCTAACATAATATGCGCGCCAACATTGAATACTTAATGCACATAACATGATATTTTCCACACCAGCTTTCTGTTAGTTCGGTCGAATTGCTGGAGGTTAATCCTATCGACTAGCTGCTCCAATAATATTTTATTTGGTTTATCTGATCAATTCTAATATCAATATCAATACCAACAGCGAATGCCTGAGAAGTACCGTATCAAATAGCCCAAGGACCGCACTTGATCTTTCCTTCCTCTTCCTTGTCATCATCTCTTCCCTCACCTACACACAAGCAATGCACATTTCAAGACCAGTCGGGAGCTTCGAGCTTGGCCAGTTTGAAGTTGTAACTGAAGGAAATACTTGGAAGTGGAAACACGCTCGCTGAAGTGTAGCTCGGCACTGGATCTCACGTTTCATCAAGGGAGAAATACTAACACCTCTCGGGATATATCACTAGTTATGTATGTATGTACTTGGCGCCGCAGCTCGTGAACGGGCTCACACCTACCGGCCACCGTCTCTGCCTCGCGTCATGGGTTAAGGGGGGTACGTGTGGTTAGCACGTAGATATCCCCACGCCGTATTCCGGTCTTCTGAAACTGAGAAGTGAGTTTTCTCATAGCTACACAGCAACATATGCTGGGACATTCCAAGGAAAACGCACTCTATACTCTTGCCTCAACGGGAATCGAACCCGGGGCCGCGTATTGGACGGCGAGCACGGTGACCAACAGCTCGCCACAAGGACGATATAAAAGCACTACACATGAAATTAAGTGACATAAAGTGATGGTGACTGGAAGCAAACGGATCAATTTAAGACTGGCTTCCTCAATAAGCTAGAATCAGAGCGACTGAACAAGACAGGAGAATTGGAAAGGAAACTTTCCCCGACAAACATTCCACTTTCCCGTTTACCTTCTCAGGACTGTCGTCTGTGACACAATGAAATCTCATCAGCGTAACTTCTGGTGCGATTTCAGAAACTTCTGCATTGAATTCTCAAGAACAAGTAGAATGTGATTATTCTAATATCCAAACGGACTCGCATGTCACAGATATCCAATTTGTGAGAAATCAGTGAAGTTAATAAATATCACAACAACAATTCATAATCTTATGAAAGTTCTTGCTCATGTTTCATCTCATGTTTGCACACGAGCACTCTACAGAGTCTAGAGGCAGAGAAGACAAGTCGTCAAAAGACTGTCATTTACTCGGAGCAGTAGAGTATGCACAGTTAGTAGCCTCGCGGGGAAGTTATGAGAGAAAATTGCCTCGTACGTGGCAGACACACGATTAATCCGCGATGGTAAAAAAGTTACGACAGCTGTAAACAAAACATGCTCCCTTCGTTGTTTTTTTTAAATTTTGAGTTAAAAAGAGTTTGTCTGCTCGAGTATCACGTAGCACACTGTACTAGTTAGATAACTATTCCGTAGTATAAAATTTCATGTCCTGCAAGTTTTTTTACGCAAATGTGCTGTGTTGTGGTATCTTTATACTTACATGTCACCTACTTTTTAAATTGAGAATTATATGGTTGGTAATTTGGTGCTCCTAAATAAAACATTTTCCAAATGTCACCAGAACTGTTCTCCACTTTCACTTGATATTCTTTTGAAAGAAATTTTACCGCATGAAAGAAACCGCATTTTCAACAAGTTGTTATTTCTACAAACGCAGCTCTTGTAGTTTTATAAGTGTCAATTGAAAGCGTAAATCTTGAAAACACTTGAGTTTTAATTTTTCAAACGTTAGAACGCAATTATAATTCGCTTCTGAACTAAGGTAACCTCATAGTGATACTTATCAAACGTCTTGGAGTGTCCAAGAAAATTCGCAAATTATCTTGAGTTAAGAACTGTCGCTAGGTATCCAATTAGGGAAGAAATTCCTAACCTTTTTCTCTCATCGACCTCTTTTACAGAAATTGTTTGCTTCATTGACCCTCTTACGTTTTCTCCATAATATTTTGCATCCATAATCATGGCAAAAAAATTGCACATAAATATCTCAAAGGTAACAATTTTGTACCCGAATTTTCTTATAAATATCTCCATTTGTCAATAATAAAAAATTTTTGAGTACCTGGATCTCTAATGTTCAATGAAATTCAATGGTTTCAAAATAATTAATGTTTTTTAGGACTGACCAAAACATTTCTCTAGTGCCAATTGATTTAAGAACTGACTAAAACAAATCTCCAGTGCACAAGGAGAGTACTTCCTTATGCGACAGAGTATTGTTGTGAATGAATAGTTATAATTTCTTCACTCTTCTAAACATCCTAAACCCTAAGGATATCTGTCTATGGAAGAAAAACGAATTTCTAAATTACCATCATATGTTTTGTTGATTTTTATTAGAAAGCAATTAAGTTCATAAATATTTTTTTGAAATCTATGGGATGCTGATTATGCTGATGAGGACCCTGTTCATATAAAGCTTTTGACCCCCCAATCGACTCCTTACCCCCATGAAAATTACATCGGCCCCCAGAGAGCTACACTGATCGCATTGGGTACCTCTGATCTCGAGCATAGAACCCCTACGGGGTCAATACCGCCACACAGTGAGCGCTGGTGCCTTGTAGGGGGGCAGCAGAAGATGCAGTGGCAAAGGAAGCGGCGTTGAAACAGGCAAGAGCGGACGTGACGTTCCACTGGTGAGAGATACCTGGCTGTGGAAAATACCGCTAGCCGACGATAAGTCGGCGCCGGATCTCGCTATTCAGCGAGGGGAAACCACAGCTACCTCCAGAATAAATCATGCACTACACTTATGGGACTAATGACCTTATCAGCCCCCTTTACGCGTCCGGAATCTTAAAAATCAATCAATGAATTGTTCTATCCTCGTCTCCTTCTAACACACACGTAAACTAACATGCATTACACTATCACACACGCCGGTAGACCGGTCGGGAGCTTAGAAGTTTTCCCGGCTGGGGGTGGGAGATACCTGGTTGATGAAAATCTCCGAAGACGACATACAACTCACTATCTCGCACGATCACCAGCACCAATTGCGGAAACTACATGCACTACACTCTCAGGATTAATGACCTTAGCGGTTCACGCGCCAGAAATTCTCAATCAATCAATCAATTAATCAATAGCTCGTGACGGCGTTTAAACCCTATTACAGAAAGGTTTGGCAGCAGCCAGTTGACGCTCACGAAGCAGCCCAAATACCCATTAGGATCTTATTCCTCCTGGCTAGCAGGCAGACACGTTCATAACACATGCATACAGCATTAGATCAGAGGAATGGAATAGAATTTGGCATTGAACATGTCCTTGGAGGTTTGTTTAGTGGTCACAATACCACAACACAAAATCCATCCATACCCAATGCGGGATTCAAATCCTCAATCCCCGCAGACTGCGACCACCGCTTGAACCACTAAGCTACGGTTCATTACTTGGGTGGTTGATTAGTGATTCCTGACGCGTCATCTCCTGAGGTAATTAGTCTCGCAAGAGTAGTGTACGAGTTTTGCTTGGGTGTTGGGTAAGATATTTTCCTGTAGATGGTGAAATCCGGCACTACCCTACATTGGCTTGCCGAGATTTTCCCAACTAGGTATCGCTCACCAGCGTGGCACCGCCCCAGCCCGGACAAGCTCTAAGTTTTCGACAAGGCTGGTAATATAGTGCGTGTTTGTGTAAGCATGTGTCAGTAAGGAGTGAGTATAGGACAAGGAAAAGGTACGAATGAACGAGCCCGTTTGTTAGGGTACTACTCCTGCATTCGCCTGGTGTTGATCGGAGAAACCATAGAAAACTACCAATCACAGCAGCCAGCTGCTATAAACCTCCTCTAGTCAGACTAAGCTGTGTTTAAAATGCACTCAGAACGTCTTCCGACCAGACGCTGGAAGATAGCTCTGATTATGATAGCCACGCGAACGAACAGATCTTAAATTTAAATATATATTTGAAATCGGAAAACACCTTAAATCTTTTAATGCTTTGAAGGGTAAGGTTTTACATTGTATTCCTCGTTCGCATGCCAGTGACAAGTGCGCGCGCGCGACTGTGTAGAATGTTCAAGCGTGAGGTTTTCCATTGTATTCCTCGTTCGCATCCCAGTGACAAGGGCGCGCACGCGACTGTGTAGAATGTTCAAGCGTGAGGTTTTCCATTGCATTCCTCGTTCGCATCCTAGTGACGAGGGGGAGCGCGTGACTGAGTAGAATGTTCAAGCGTGAGGTTTTCCATTGTATTCCTCGTTCGCATCCCAGTGTCGAGGGCGCGCGCGCGACTGTGTAGAATGTTCAAGCGTGAGGTTTTGCATTTCATTCCTCGTTCGCATCCTAGTGACGAGGGGGCGCGCGCGCGCGACTGTGTTGCAGCAAGTACCAGCGCAACCGCAACATCGAGGAGCCGGCGTTCAGCCTGCTGATCGCCGCCTACTGCCTGCTGATCCTGGTGGGCGCGGCGGGCAACAGCCTGGTGGTGTGCGTGGTGGTGCGCAAGCGCAGCATGCGCACGGCCAGGAACATGTTCATCGTCAACCTGGCCGTGTCCGACCTGCTGCTGTGCCTCATCACCATGCCCTTCACGCTCATGGAGATCATCACCAAGTACTGGCCGCTGGGGCGGCACGACTTCGTGTGCAAGATGGTGGGCACGCTGCAGGCCACGTCCATCTTCGTGTCGTCGGTGTCCAACACTGCCATCGCGCTGGACAGGTGAGACAACTTTGCGGAATTGACAGGGTACGAGAGGTTTACCCCGGAAGTACTCGCACTACAGCATGTTACTGTTCAGACTCCTACGCATTTATGAGTCGATTTTCTGGTTGTGAAAACAATCTGATGCTCTAACGGAGTTAACAGAGTACAGGTGCAGTGCTTTTTGTACCTCGTATTGCGAACACTGTTTCACAAAAGCATAGATTTATTATTACCCATATTAATCCAGTTACAGGTATAAAATATTCAATGAACTGGCCTTTGATGACTAGGTTACAATAGAACCCTTTAAAGTTATCGGAACTATGTGAAACACGAATTTCTCACACTTCCATGGATGAATGATTGCGTTAAAACGTATGAGATCACGCACAACTTAAAGCAATACTGAATATAAGTAATGCTCACGGTTAGGCATTAAATATTTAGTGAACTGACACGCGGCGCAGTAGCCTATACGCTTACAGAATCAGTAATAAACTTGCTCGAGATGAGACTCAAATAGCAAATTTTACGTAAGAGAACATACTGCATGAATCTTACGTCGTTAGAAACAAATTGATGCGACGGGACAACATGGTACTACTCTCGTAAGGTCTGGATCAGAAATAAACCTACAACACTGTCGCGAGAGATCCTTCGCGTATGTTTTAAATAGGTGGGGATTGGGGTGAGCCAATGAGAAATGAGTATTTAATTCGTTCCTGTATGCTTCGGTCTGTTAATAACAGTTAGAAAACGGTTGCAAGCTTCCCATGTAATCCCGAAAAGGATACCGGGAATTTGGCGTGACGTCACGTAGCTCGCGGAACAGCATGCACGTGTGGCAGTAATCGATACCGCGGATTGGCGGCTTACGCGCGGCGATAGAAAAATACTCGGAAGATTGACTGTTGAGACGCTGCTGGCTGTAACAGAATTACTTAAGCACAAAGTCACGACTCGGTGTTGTCCTTGCAGACGGAATAAAATATAAAAATAGTTTTTTTACAATATTCTGTTAGCCGAAAGCACATTAGTGTAAGAAATGTGTCTGTTAGATATTCAACAGTGTTTGCATGCTATCTAAGTTTCTGTTAGGATCCAAGAATGATCGCGTGAAAGTTTTCTTCATCGAAATATGTATATACAATATAGGGCTTAAACCAAAAAATATCAGTCACACGATTTCAATTGCCTAAATAAGTGCCTCGTAGTTTCTCAAGAGTTTGGTCGGTGTAAATTCTTAAGTACTAATCCAAGAACGTCGTGCGTTTCCCAGACTTCTTTCTTTCTGTCCCTCTCTTTCTCTCTCTTCATATGTTTCTCTTATATACTTTTTGTGTTTATTACTTTCTCTCATTCTTCTCTCTCACTCTCTCTCTTTCTTTTTCTCCGTCTCCCTTTCCAATTCTCTCTTTTTCTTTCCAGTTTATCTTCCTGAGTTTCTCTCTTTGAATATTTCCTCTCTTTTCCCTGTACCCACTGAGTGTTTACGCCACTATTCACTTGATTGCTTTGTGGCGAGATACCACCGCTTGCAGCTTGTATTGCCAACTTCTCGCAACTGATTTTTGCAATTCCCGCAATTGCCACATTTCCCGAAATTGCTGAAGGAAACGTTACGATCGCACTCAACTTTGTGGTACGTGACGGGTGAGATGGGATGTTTGCTGTATCTTTTGCTCCGTCTATGGTCCTCAGCTTCTGACTGGCGATTCCCAACACCGACTTGCCAGCTTCATCCGACACTTCAATTTCCTGGTAAAAATACTGTTGAAATACAAAAATTCTGCTTTTCGCTTTGTGTTTCGTAAGCACGTAATACATAACTAGAGTAAAACGTCATTAACTTTGAAACATTTTAACAGCATATGTCTTGTTCGTGGTTGTTTCCAGGACTACCGTTTTAAACATAACCTCAGTATATAAAAGAAAAAAGAAAAATATCGAGTGCTGATTTCATTCTTTTGATTTTCCCTCATTCGCGTGGTAAATACGTAATTATTTGCTGTTCGTCTGAAATATTGTTTTAGAAAATTTGGAAAACTGCGTTTTGAACTTCTAAAACAATATAATTGCTTATATAAGCGGAACAATCAATTACAGTGAGGTACCTCAGCAGTGTTACCTTTTCCATTTAGAAATACACTGAAATTGTTCCTGTTGTTTCATTTACGAGAGATATCAAATCGCATTGTCACTGAAATTTTATCTTTTGGGAAAAATGTCTGATTAGTGGCCACAAGCAACACGAGTTATGATATTACATGTCCAGTCAACTGATATTCAAAAGAGCCCAATTCGAGAAAATATTTCGGAAGATTTTTCATCGATTCTATATGTTTTGTTCTGCTGAATTCATATATAAGTTTTGTCATCTTGAAAAATGTCAGCTTGAGCTAACAAATGGTAAAAAAATTAACATTTTCCACAGTTTTTTAATTTTTTGTATATATCTCGAAAACATTGTCATGAAATTTCATTGCATTATATAACTTCTCTTTATTGTATTTCTTCATTGTTTCAACGCACACAATTACTCATTTTTTTCATTCATAATCCAACAATACAATTAATTTATTCACAGTAATTGTTTTCAAGCGCTGTGTAGTTCGGGCAGAACGCAGCCGCGAGATAAAACGGGGAAAGGTTTGCTCTTCCGTTTAGTTGCATCACCATTTACAGAAACCTCTAGCACCTAAAGTTATTAACCGAAAGTATAACAAATAAACGCATTTTATAGAAAATTTGACATTCTTAAATTTTATAAATCATAGTAATTTCCGTTTTTACACAAGTTTCAAGATATAAAAGAAAACCGAAAAAAAATTTAAAGAATTTTATGCCTGAGTTGAGGAAAGCTGACATTTTTCGGGAGAACGAACCCCAAATTCAACACTAAAAATATGTATAGAATCGGCGAGAAAAAGATAGGATTTATGTCCTGGACCGAATACCTACCGAGTGAGCTATATCACAAACACAGATTTTTGTTCGTTTAACGTTCAATTTTGAGTCCACGTTTAGCGCAATAAACCAACCGCCACATTTTCACGTAAATTGCTCTCTTCGTATTCACGCCGTTTCACAGCAGAGGTCACTTTTTGCCTCGTGACAACGGTGCCCTCAATTGCCAGAGGAGAAAATGAACTTGGGTGCGGAAGTCCTGTGGGTGGAACGAGAGTAGCATTGCTACATGCGCCTCTCAGGATGATGGAAGTTTACTGAATAATACCGCTTGCAAACCCATTTCTGAGGTGCTGCAATCCGTAATTAAATTGCATACAAATAGCAAGTTTGCATGGTAATGCTTGGCCATTTATTTCGAATCAGAAGCTGTTGGTGGCAAGAAGCAGTGCTGCGCGCTCGCGAAGTGGTTACGCGGTTCCCCGCGCTGTTGACAATTGTTGACGTAATAACTCCGAGTCCACACAGAAATCAACTGCGAAACACGAGAAGAGGGATGCCTTCTATTGTGAGCAATTTTGACGCCGGATAATCTGAATCTTTTAGTTTAAATATAATTTATTTTAATTTTAATAAGTTGAAATAGAATAACTGAAAATCTTACAAAATCGAAATTGGTTGTGACGAAAAGTCTTTCTAAATTCCCGACAAAGCTTTTCTGAGGCTTCAGAGCCCTGACATTACTTGGGAGGTCGCGTGACAACATATACTCATTCGTACGATATTAGACATCATCTCGTCTAGTTTTTATCTAAATCGTTTAATGAAAAAAAGCTATGACATTGTTAACAGGAAAATATTAGATAACGATAATTCATTGTTCCTATTCCTTTATGTAGTACATTTTTCACACACATACAATTTATGGCATTTTGTATGTTATTGTCGTTACGCATCCTGAATTGTCTCAATGCCAGCAGGAGAGACTGTTTTTGAGCTGCTGTGTTTGTTGTTGATAAAAACTTTCCTTGCTTCGCAATCATTTGCAATTCGATCGATGCACACAAATCAATGAGAAGTAGGCAAAACAACATTGGCAGAACGCATGTAGTTGTTACGTTAGCCTGCTAGCAGTGATTGGCAGCCTACGTTAGACGTGCGTGGTCCTGTTGCGGACTTTTTTCATTGCTTGGCCGTACAGCACGGATTAGCACGGTCCATTCATTTATCTAGAAACGACAGTTTTTGCCAGTACTGATGATGTAAAAGCTGATATCTATTATTTTCATCTCTCTTTATTTTCTCGTTTACGTACAGTATACATGAACTAATATACGAACTATACAGAATATTATTCTGCAGAAAATCGATTTCCGAGATTTAAACGAAAATACGCGTTTTGGGGTGTACCGAAAGAGTTTATTTTCAAAATGTCCGTATGTTCATCTGTCGATCCGTTCATCCATCGACTGGCCGGTCTATCAGTCTGCCCCCGTGACCGTCTATCCGTTTGTCTGCCGGTCCGTCGTTCCGTCTGTCCATCATTCATCGGACCGTCGGGTCGTCTGTCGGTCTGTCTGTAGTATAGTCTGTCTCTCCGTCCGTCCGTCCGTCCGTCCGTCCGTCCGTCCGTCCGTCCGTCCGCCCGTCCGCCCGTCCGCCCGTCCGCCCGTCCGCCCGTCCGCCCGTCTGTGAACAACACTAGCTAAACTGTTAGCAGAACTTGTTCCAAAATTAATATTCCATAATCGATCTCACGCGTTTTGAAGTCCTGCGATTTTGAAAATACTTTTTTTTACATTTTGGGATACTTTACATGAATTCTCTACATTTTCAAAATTTTTTCAAACACGACTCAAATGTTTATCATTAAATTTCTTGTACGAAGAGAATGAAATACTGTTATAGAAAAGGCATAAGTCCGTTCTCAACGGATAACTGAGAATTTTCGAAAATCGCACTAACTTGAAATTTTTTGAACGCTTTCGTAAAATTACATTATATAGGATATTTCTACTTCAAATAAAATTTCCCCCTACAATTAGTTCTATAACTATTTTTTTTTTGATATTAGTAATTTTGCAAAAAATTAAGTTGACATATACACA